AGGGTTCAGAGGTGGGCAACAAAAATGATAATAGACTTCCAAGGCACGTCACAGGAGAGGTTGAAGGAAATTACTACATTCAGCTTGTGGATAAGACACTTAAGAGGGCACAAGACAGCAGTCTTCAAATACTTGAAGGGCTGCCATAAAGAAGAGGGAAAGCACCTTTTCTCTCTTGCTGCAGAGATGAGGACATGGACCAAGTTGCAGCAAAGTACGTTCAGATTGGATCTCAGCAAAAACGTCTTCACTGTGGGAGCAGGGAGGCAGTGGGATAGATGCCCAGGGAAGATGTGGACTTTCCATCACTGGAGGTGTCCAACAGGTTGGACAGGCACTGGTCAGGGATGATCTAGGTGTAGCGATGCCTGTGTTCTCCTACGGAGATGTCCCAGGCTTCTGGGCTTTGCTGGTTGCCTCATGGGGCCAGGAAGGAGTTTTAGGCTGCTATGAGTTTCAGAGGTTTTTTCCCCCTTCCTCAGCAGCTTTAGACGACGGCTGCAGCCCAAGCTGGGGATTTTGACTGGGCCGTTCCAATGCTCCTGCTGGGACTTTAGCCTGGAGGTTCCTGGCTAGACTGTCTTGGCCCTGCACTCAGGGTCAGACCAACACCACTTTTGGGGTCAGGAAGGAATTTTGCCCCATGCTAAGACTGGTGCAGACTAGGGGGTTTGCCTTCCTCTGTAGTGGGGGACGCGGCCCTTCCTGTGTTGTCTCAAGTGTATATAAACACCCTTTGCAGCAGCAGGATGTTGGCTGCTATTGTGCCCCTGCCCAACCCTTGCCAGGCTCAGGTGTGATGTCTAGTGTTGTGTTAGGGGTGACTGTGTAGTTTTACTAATAGGTTAGACAATGGAGTCATATAGGATGGTTTGGACAGGGGTGACGCTGCCTCAAGCAGGGAGTTGGACTAGATGTGACCTCTGGACGTCCCTTCCAGCCCCACTGCTCTATGATGGGCTGCAAGGACGAGTCTGGAGAAGGCATGGGATGGAAGATGCAGCTGCTCTGCAAATAGGTCTTTTAGTAATGAGCTACTTTACTTTTAGAAACATAGGGCCAGAATCTATCCCACCAATCAGATGTAAAAGTAGACTTATCAGGCACCTAAGTTTGATTCCATTCCACCTTGCTGAAATCCTTGAAAAACAGCTGACACAAAAGGCAGGTGGGTCCTCTTCCCCCTGATCACTGCTTTTTGGGACCAGAGTCTTATAAAGAAGATGATGCTGTGTAAGAAAAATAGGTGCATTCATGTTTTTTTGGGGATTTGAGTGGGCTGGCATAGGATCGCATGTAGGCGCCTAAGTTCACATGGACACCTAAAGGGTATGATAGGACCTGAGCAATGGAGGCCTCTCATGTTATTGGAGTGCATGTTATTGTCAGTGTAGGAGCAGTAAAACCAAGAGCTTAATCTGCAGCAGCTCCCGTGTCTTCCATGACACAGGTTCAGATTTTCCCTGGTTCAGGGCTGTTAGGGGTTAACTTGCAACCCACAGGTTCTCACGCAGCCCCCACTCCCCACCATTGCTTTGGTGGCTGGGGTCTCCGGCTCCCTCTTCCTCCTCTGGCTTCTGCCCCTGCTTCTGGGGACAGTGCAGGGCAGCGGGAGGGAGGGAGCTGGGCTGCCTGGGCTGCCATGCACCATGAGCCGCTGTGCATGTGGTGGGGAGGGGGCTGCTCACAAAGCATGCAGCCCCCATCTGCACCCCATACTGCACGTGACCTCAGGCTGCCCAGAAAATGAACAGCCCTGTGGCCTAGTATAAGAGAGCAAAAATAGTGTCCTTACCTGCACATCATTGTATCATACGGCCAAGTGCCAGGGCATGTGCGCGTATTCTTGGGACCTGCCTTACTTTAAGTGGCATGATCATAGACCGGGCCTCAGCAGTGCATGTGTTCACTGGTGCCAGGAGCCACACCAGTCATTTTTTCCCCAGTCTAACCTTCCCGGATATATGTACAGATCAGCACGTCGATTGACCTAACCCTCGTTAGGATGCTGTAAGTGTAACGCCTACATGTGCCCTAAGGCTATAGTGAGACAGGCTGGTATAGCGCCCAGGCCTAAACCTCACCTAACAACATTGGGTTTGATTTTCCTACCACTTCCCCTGTTGTACATCAAGATGAATAACCACAAAGCTGATAGAGTCACACTTCTTCTGTAAGCGAGAGGAAAATCCAGCCTGTGTTGCATAAAATGCTAGAGGCCCTTAATTATATCAGAGTAGGTTTTTCTCCTGAGTCTGCCCATGACAGCCAGGCACTGTCATCACCAGAGATCCTGGTTTTATCTGATAAAGAAAAAAAATGCCCATTTTTCAGATATAAAAAAAGTGACCCAAAATCCACATTTTCCCATGATTAAAATGAAACACCAC